TTCTCCTGGTACCCAGGTGGCAGATTTCCATCAGGTTCAGCTTGCACAGCACCAGCGACTTCTATGCCATTTAGTGAGCCAAGGCCATACCCTCTCCAACAACCTCAGAATCTCAGCCCAAAGGTGGAGAACTCTTTGTGGGTCGCTCAATCCTGGGAGTATTAGCTGCTCCTTGAATCTGCAAGTCCTATATATTTCGAGTTCTCTTTACTTATTACTAGCCAATCCCTAGTTATGCCAATCCCTTGTAAGATCAAAGTTTTTAAAATATTCAACTAAAAATACTTATTCTGTATATTAAACTTGCACTGTTCAAATGACTATGTGGGCTGTCTCTCTTGGTTGGACCCAGACTGACAAAGAGGTGCTAAAACCACTTGAAGATCAAATACACTGGAATCTGAAGAAGTAGTTCAGTTTTAGACATCTTAATTTTGAGGTCCTTGAAGCCTGTCCAGAGAGTGTTTTATTAAGTCACCAGATGACTATTTCGAAACTTTAGAGATAGTTTAGAGTTGAAGGTAGATTTGAGAGTTGTCAACATTTAGAAATATACAAACATTAAGATAGATAATCTGGGAGACTGTGGAGAATGAAAATTAGATTACAGGTAAATGCACCCACTATTAAAAGGCTGGCAATAAAAAGAAGTCCAGCAAAACAGAGGGAAAAAAAATTCAATGCAGTATCACTCAATTTCTGAGAATACTTTGAAAACAGTGGATATTCTTAAGGAAAAGTTGAAAAAGTTGCAGATTTTTTAAAAGGCCTGTATTTACTGCTAAGGAAATGAACAAAATACACAAAGCCTATAAAATGGTAAAAGTACTGGCCAAACTACAATGGGAGATGGTATAAATAAAAGCAACGATTAAGTTCAGAATACTACTTTGTTCATAAGTCTGAAAGCAAAAGGCAAAGAAGTCAGACAGCTTGGAAGGAAGTTAAAAAGAAAGTTTTTTGCTTGTATTGTGAAGTGGATTTTGGATGAATGAGACTTGATGAAAGCAAAGGCATCGCAGAACAAAGGAGGTGAGAGCAGAGATGAGGAAGGATGCTTAAGAAAAATGGAAATGTTTGTGAAACAATAACAAGTAGTCATCAGTGATAAACCACAGGACTAATGAGGGTAAACCAGAGGCTAAGACACCAATCTATATCTGAAACCATTAGTCTTAAGCTCAACTTTGGCTTCTAGAATTTAGTTACTTTTTAAGCTAAAATATACTTCATCACTGATCTAGCCATTTCACTTAATGAAAAAGTCAAGTATTTAGTACCATGGAAAGTACAAGTGGTGCTGTTTATAGCAGAAAAAATTGGAAACAGTACCTAACAACAGACCATAAAATGAACAGTCTGAAGTCATAAAAACTAATGTATGGTATAACAAGTTCATAAGACTATTAAATGATGAGGGAAAAATCTTAATCTGCATATACAGTATGATCCAACTATTATAAAATATAAAAGTACATGGGAGAAAAGGAGAAGTAGGATCATAGTTTAACTTCTCCCACTTACATAATATTTTCCAAAATCTCTGAAATGAACATAATAGTGCTGCATGTAGCAATTTTGATAAATGCAGTCATATCATTAGGAAAGCTTTCTCAGACTGTAAGTGAGAAGAGTGTCACAAAACAAGAATGGACTGCATATAGAAAGAGGTGATAGGAATTTGACGGATAGTATAAAGGGAAAACATAAAGACAAATTTTTCACCTACATAAAATTATATTTCAAGACTTACCTCACAACCATCCCCTCATCCCACTCCCACCAAAAGCAAATACGGAAATAGTGTCAGATTTCATTTTCTGGGGCTCCAAAATCAATGCAGATGGTGACTGCAGCCATGAAATTAAAAGACGCTTGCTCCTTGAAGAATAGCTATGTCAAAGCTAGACCATGTTAGGAAAAGCAGAGACATCACTTTGCCGACAAAGGTTCGTCTAGTCAAAGCGATGGTTTTTCCAGTAGCCATGTATGGATGTGAGAGCTGGACCATAATAAAGGCTGAGCACCAAAGAATTGATGCTTTCAAACTGCGGTGCTGGAGAAGACATCTTGAGAGTCCCTTGGACAGCAAGGAGATCAAACTAGTCAATCCTAAAGGAAATCAGTCCTGAATATTCATTGGAAGGATTGATGCTAAAGCTGAAGCTCCAATACTTTGGCCACCTGATGCAAAGAACTGACTGGAAAAGACCCTGATGCTGGGAAAAATAGAGGGTAAGAGAAGGGGGCAACAGAGGATGAGGTGGTTGGATGGCATCACTAACTCAACGGACATGAGTTTGAGCAAACTCAGGGAGATAGTGATGGACAGAGAAGTCTGGCTTGCTGCAGTTCATGAGTTCATAAAGAGTTGGACACGACTTAGTGACTGAACAAAATATACTGTCTTCTGCCACAGTCCCTCAAATGAGGACTAAGGATATAAGCCATTTACGGGTTAAAGAGGCTTCTGTGAAACTTAGCCACATATTATAGTGTTTATTATGAAAAATGTATTCTGAGCTACAAGCAGCTATCTTAGTAACAAGTCTGGTAAACACAAGTTCCTAGATTGTCAATTTGCTATATACCTGACCACGATGATTTTACAATTCTCTGAAAACTCAAAGCACAGTTTCATAGCTAATACATTTAATTTTCAGGTATCTGTGTTTCAACTGTTCAATTACACTGAAAGCTTCTATAAAGCAGCATATAATAACTTCTTGCTCTCTGTCTTCCCTGAGACTTGTGGGGCAGTTGTGGAGTTAACTGTGGGATCCCTGCTACCACTGAAGCAATACAAAAGAATATTTAAATGGTATCACACAAGCAGTAACACAGGAAGTGAATATGAATACACTGCCATGGGAAATTTTTTATAAACGTTAAAAATAGGACAAAGTAATAGTTCTATACACAAAACAAAGCCAGAATTAGATGTCTTTAATCCTGCGACAGAGATTAAGCTGAAGACAGAAATCACCCTGCTACAAATGCCTAAACATAGAAAGTTATTTCAGACATGTTTATAATGTACTAAACCAAAAAAGCTTTCTCATACATCCAGGGTAAAAACTCTTACCTCATTGCTGGGGGCCTCATGCTCAGACCCAACATCTCGATGCTGGTTTTGAGAAATGGATGCGCTGACAGAAACTGATGTTTTTTTCGGTGAATGGAAGGCATTGATAAGATGACTCAGAGGAACTGTAACCTAAAAAAAGATAAAAGCTAAAAATCAGCAGTGCTTTTTAAAATAAAAACATCAAAAAAAACCTTTTTATTGTCAGAACTGGGTATTGTATAGTTAAACATACATTGTTTATCAAAACTATACATTAAAAATTATAAATACTCAGATTACTGCTGGTCGAAAACTACTAACTTTTAGAATAGAACTGGGGTTATATACAGGAAAAGTACTAAAAATACATATATTTCATTGTTGTAGCAACCTAACTCTGAGGGATTTATTTCAAGGATATAATCTGGTAAGTAATAATTTATGCTTGCATATGCCTAGATGATAATTTTCATCAAAATATTTTTAAATTTATGGAAAGCTACAAATGTCCAAGAATAGGGGAGTGGCAAAATAAACAGTACCACTGCAAAAATGAAATATTTCAGACATGAAACAAGCAAGCATATATCCAGAATTTTGTACTTTTCAATTTCCCTACTACACCACCCCACCATATTCTGAGCCACCATCATCTCTAAGTGGATTTTTTTCTTTTTTGTATGTGGATTTTTAAAAACAGCAACCTAACTTCTCTCCCTGAATCTCCTCTATTAAAGCCACTCATCACTCCTCCGCTCAAAACTCTCCAATGGCTTTTCTCACAATAAAGGTTGATGTCCTAACAACAATGTCTCCCTGGCTCTTTCTCACTTCTGTGATCTGATCCACCATTAAGTTCCCCTTCATTCTCTCTGCTCTGGCCACCTCAGCCCCTTTGCTGTTCCTGGAACAAACCTGGCAGGCTCTCACTCAAGGATGCTGCATTGCTGTGTATTCCCACCTCTCCAGTAAGTCACAAAGTTTGCTCTCATGCTTCGTTCAGTACTTCACTCAAAAAGCAATCTTTTCATGTGTCTTTTCCCTGGTCAACCTACTAAAGAACCCTCTCCTAAGAAGTATTCCTTACTGCCTTCCTCTGCTCTATTTTTTCTTCTTGACATTTATGTTATCTCACACACTTTATTTACTTGTTTACCTATGTATTGTTTACTAGAAACCTCAACCTAAGCCCCCTTATTTGCATAAATCCATGTGGATGACCCAAAGAGGGGCTTTAAGAATAAAAACACGCCTATCACACAGGAAATTTCAAGGGTTTCAGGAACTCTGTGCCAAGAACTGGGAACAAAGACCAAAAATTTTTATTTATTATACCACATTCTCCCACTGGAATATAAGTTTCATGTCAGAAGGGATTTCTTTCCTGTATTTTAATATTTTTCTCTCTTGTTTATACATCAATTTACTATGTTTTCACATAATACTTATACACCTTAGATTTTATTTTTCTCTAACTTTATTTCATTCAATACTGTATTCCAGTGCAACAATAATGTACACAGTAGTTGCTAAATAAACATTTGTTGAGAAAATGAATAAACTAAATGGGCTCTTACTATATGACAGTTTTTATACTATATGCTTTACTTAATTATCTCATTTAATCCTCATAAGAGACATAAATATTAGTTACTTCTATTTGATGAAGAGAGCAAAAAATTAGATTCAATGTCATGTTCCAAGTCGTTCAGCAAGAAAAGTGTAATATTAGAGGAACGATTCTAACCCAGATAATCTGACTTAAGTCAGATTATCTGGGTTAGAATCGTGGTTACTGATGCAGAAATAAAATCATAATATTGTTATACAAAAAAAGCAAGCTATAAAACTTTATGTAACATTTGTGTGTTTTTTTTTAAATTATGCATACAGAACTTTCCTGGTGGTCCAGTGGTTTGATCCCTGATCTGGGAAGATTCCACAAGCCACAAAGCAACTAAACCAGTATGCCACAACCACTGAGCCCAAACACTAGAGTCCGTGCTCCTCAACAAGGGAAGCCCTCGCTCGCTCCAAGTAAAGAAAGCCCAAGTGCAGTAATAAAGACCCAGTGAAGTCATGAATAAATTAATAGCATGCATACCCGTATTTGTATAGAGTTAAAGGGATGAAAGAAGTTATCCTAAAATGCAATCTCTTGCAGTGATGGAATTATGGGTGATCTTTATTTTCCAGTATTTTTCTTTTCAGCATTTTTGGCAATGAGTGTGTATTATTTTTAAGAGTCAGAAAGAAATGATAAGCTCTTTTAAAGCTGCAGGAATCGAAATAAGATACATATTTTCTGCCTATACCTTTGAAAAGTTTTATTTTAATTACTTATATTTCTTCTCATTCAATATTAAGAAATTAAATTTCTGTTTCCCTAGGTCCTCTGGAACAATCCATCTGGTTCCACCTATTATCTGCTTCCCTGGACCTTTAGGCTTGTCTTGGCCCATCTGAAGACCAGGCAGTTGATAAATCCTGAGGCTCGCTGCTCAGACTGGCTCGGGTGGGACACAGTCACCAGGGATGGTAGAACGTAAGAATGGGGCAAGTGTCCGGACTGCTCTCCTGGACACTGAGCAGAGTCCTGTGGCTCTCAGGCCTCTCTGAGTGCGGAGCTGCCTGGCAACCCTGCATCATGGAAGAGAAAGAGCTAGAAGTTTATGACTAGATTCAAACTCTCCGGGACCCAGAGAAGCCCAGTACTTTAGAAGAACTGAAAGTGGTAACAGAAAGTTGTGTGGAGGTTCAAGAGATAAATAAAGATGACTATTGGTTATTATAAGGTTCACACCAACAGTACCTCATGGCTCTTCAGCAACTCTTATTGGCCTGTGCTTAAGAGTAAAACTTCAACAGTGTTTACCATTTAATATGTTGGAAATCTAAATTTCTGAAGGAACCCACTCAACAGAGGAAGATATGAACAAGCAGATAAATGACAAAGAGCTAGTGGCGGCTGCAATGGAGAAACCCAACTTATGGGAAATCATGGAACAGTGTGTCCTTGCACCTAAGAGCTGTTTTAAGAGCCACTAACAATAATCATTTGATACATTTGTTTAAACTCTTTGTAAAATGTAGAAGATTCATGTTTAATACATAGGTGATTTGTACCTCAGAGCATTTTTTTAAAGGATGATTTCCAAGCAAGACTTGATTATAAGGTAGTCCCTAAGTCTGTTCAGTGTCCAGCATTCTCAGGATCTGTAACATTTAAATGATCAGACAGAAAAATATTTTCTAGTTATTATGAGTTATTATGTGTAAGATGAGTTGCTATTTTTCTGATCCCCATTATGATACACCTGCTTTTCATGTCAAATATTTACCGTGCCCAAAAGTATTACATCTATATCATCACTCCGTAAAATAAATAAAAGACATGATTCTTGTTAAAAAAAAAAAAAAAGAATTTAAATTGCTAAAACATGGTCTGATGTCTTCTCAATGAAAAACTTGACCCTATGTCATACAATTTAAATTTAAGTGTATCAAACCAATTAAGCAACCAGGAATTACAAACTGTGTTCTGGGCTTCCCTGGTGGTGCAGTGGTAAAGAACCCACCTGCCAATGCAGGAGATGCAGGTTCGATCCCTGAGTCAGGAAGACCTCCTGGAAAAGGAAATGGCAACCCACTCCAGTATTCTTGCCTGAAAAATCCCATGGACAGGGGAACTTGGCGGGCTACAGCCCACAGGGTTGCAAAAGAATCAGACGTGACTGAGTGACTAAACAAGATTACCATCTTCCACAGCATAAAATGCATGAGTCCTACGTGGCCCAGTTAGGACTGCCTATAGTACATACAGCTTCTTCACTATCTCTACCAACATCACACACCACTAACTCCACTTCAGTTCAGTTCAGTCGCTCAGTCGTGTCCGACTCTTTGCGACCCCATGAATCGCAGCACACCAGGCCTCCCTGTCCATCACCAACTCCCGGAGTTTACTCAAACTCAAGTCCATCAAGTTGGTGATGCCATCCAGCCATCTCATCCTGTCGTCCCCTTCTCCTGCTGCCCCCAATCCCTCCCAGCATCAGGGTCTTTTCCAATGAGTCAGTTCTTCACATCAGGTGGCCAAAGGATTGGAGTTTCAGCTTCAGCATCAGTCCTTCCAATGAACACCCAGGACTGATCTCCTTTAGGATGGACTGGTTGGATCTTCTTGTAGTCAAAGGGACTCTCAAGAGTCTTCTCCAACACCACAGTGCAAAAGCATCAATTCTTTGGTGCTCAGCTTTCTTCACAGTCCAACTCTCACATCCATACATGACCACTGGAAAAACCATAGCCTTGACTAGACAGACCTTTGTTGGCAAAGTAATGTCTCTGCTTTTTAATATGCTATCTAGGTTGATCATAATTTTTTTTCCAAGGAGTAAGCGTCTTTTAATTTCATGGCTGCAATCACCATCTGCAGTGATTTTGGAGCCCAAGAAAATAAAGTCTCACTGTTTCCACTGTTTCCCCATCTATTTGCCATGAAGTGATGGGACTGGATGCCATGATCTTAGTTTTCTGAATGTTGAGCTTTAAGCCAACCTTTTCACTCTCCTCTTTCACTTTCATCAAGAGGCTTGTTAGTTCCTCTTCACTTTCTGCCATAAGGGTGGTGTCATCTGCATATCTGAGGTTATTGATATTTCTCCTGGCAATCTTGATTCCAGCTTGTGCTTCATGCAGCCCAGAATTTCTCATGATGTACTCTACAAATAAGTTAAATAAGCAGGGTGACAATATACAGCCTTGACGTACTCCTTTTCCTATTTGGAACCAGTCTGTTGTTCCATGTCCAGTTCTAACTAACTCCACTTAGCAATGATAAATTCTCCTAATATGGGGTCTTCTTGAAACCAGGGGCTTCCCCATTGGCTCTGTGGTAAAGAATCTGCCTGCAACGCAGGAGACGCAGGAGTCACTGGTTCAATTACGAGGCTGGGAAGATCCCCCAGAGGAGGGCATGGCAACCCACTCCCAGATTCTTGCCTGGAGAATCTCATGAACAGAGGAGCCTGGCTGGCTACAGTCCATGGGGTCGCAACGAGTCAGACACAACTGAAGCAACTTAGTATGCATGCACACTTGATACCAACTTACTGAAGTTCAGTTCCAAAACGTTTAACAGTCAGCAGACCAAGTCAAATTTTTATTCAAATAACTTGCAGGACTCCACCAGACACTAGTAACACCTTCTTGAAGACAGCTGATCAAACCAAAAACATCTTTTTCCATCATCCCTGATGAAATTCTATTCTTTTTTCAAAATAAATCTCATACCCTCCTTTTCATAAACATTATCACCACTTAGCAGTGCATTAGCACCTCTCTAGATTAGTGCAATATCATCCTTATCTGAAAACACCTCCACTCTTGTTCTTCTACATTCTCCACACAGCAAGAAGCCAGAGTAACCCATTACTCTGTAATAGACTGTAAGGTAAATCTGATCAAGTCACTCCTTAACATGTTTAAAAGAATTCAGTGGTTTCCAACAAATTGCAAATGAAATTCAAAGTCCCTTATTATAACCCCCTGTATGATATGTCAAGTCGTCTTTCCAACCTCCTTTCTGCCATTGGCCCTTTAATCACCAACCAGGCTCTAGCTACACTGGCCTTATTTTTGTTCCTCCAATCAGCTAGGCTTCTCAGGATCTCAGAACCTCCAGATGTTCTGTCTACCTGTTCCTGTCTATTAACATGACAAACTCCTGCTCATGTTTTATCTCACATCATCATTAAAGTTTCATATTTTCTTTGCCCACCTAGTACATTACTGAAGCCCTATAAATAACCACTTTTTTTTTTAACCCAACCAGTACTAGCAAAACAAAAGCGAGTATAGGTTACACAAAGGGACATAATTGCAATCTTAAACCAAGAAAAACTAAAGAACGTCAAACATATTTTGAAAACTGAATGTATACAAAAACTGTTTATTTGCAAAACTGTGAAGAATTCTCAAAAAAAAAGTTACCATCAAAAATGATTTTTAAATGAACTAAGAACAAAACAGTCACAGGTGATAAGTCCTGAAAGAATTAAAAATAAAAACCCTTGGAATCTTTCTTCTCTGCTCCTTTGCTTCATAAATGGAAAGATGACGAGGAGGCTGAATCAAAATTTTACCTGAAAATAATCAATAACTTAAAATATACGTATTAGCTATTGTAGATAAAAAAAAGAGAGAGAAAGAAAGCATTCATAGAAGCTTACAAATTTCTTAGCATGTCTGGGTTAAATGTCATTAAAAAGAGAGTCTGGGTTGTGAGTATCAGTCTTTGAAGAGGCGGAAAGACAGAAAAGAAACATTACTTGCTCCCTCTACAACTATGGTAACGACGTTAACCCTACCCACTCCCCAAACCCTACCTCAGAAATGCCTAGCACTAAACAGTGCCAGATGGATTTTCCAGCAAAAATTACACGCATCAAGTCGATAAGCCAAGATCTCTATCACGCTCGTACTATACTTATGCTTCTTCGTCAGCCTTTTACTCAGCATCGCCCCAATCTTTTCTCAACACCAGGACTCCAACTGGATTAAACGCTTCCCTCCTACGACCCCTTACAGGAAACTGCTTCCAAGAAACGCAAATGGCAAACAACCCGGAGCAGGGCTGGGACAGAAAAATAAACTGGATGCGGACCCACCTGGGGCTGCACGGTGCTCGACAGGGAAAACATCTTCAGGCCGTCAGCGACCTCACCCGCCTGCCAAAACTGTCCCTCTTCTCCGGTCCGGCGGGGAGGCGCTGAGCCCTCTCTTCCCCTTCTTTACTCTCTCAGCGCCCTCTTCCTAGAAGCGGAAAATGGCCTCCCCAGCATACAGCTGCTGCAACGACAGACAACCCGCCCCGGAAGGCAAGGCGCTAACGCACCAGTACTTCCGGGGCAGGTGATGTCGCCACCCTGAGCCGCTGACGCCCCCTAAATAGTTCGCTTTCACATTGGATAATACACGCGCCGGAGCCCCAAAGCTTTCTGGCTGTCGTTTTCTTTTTAAAGGGGAACGGCATCCACCCAGTTAAATCTTCCTCCAGCTTTCTAATCAATACTTTCGACATATTCTCCTGTTGTGACTGGGCCTTGGGCCATAATACGCTCTTTTGCTACAATTTAGTGCTCTTTATCTTCCCCACAATAAAAAAAAAAAATTTCCTGTTCCAGATAGGCAAGTTACACCCAGTTAAAATGTCAAATTACAGGACCAGGCATGCGCTTCCTGCTCTCCACATACGATTCAAGTTTCTCCACATTATATGATTTCACTGGTCACCGATTCACTGACCAGACCGAACTGGTTTACATTCCTCCCGCGGGTGAGAGGCCCTAAAGGAGTCTGGTGGTTGTTTTTTAAGTGGGGTAAGGGCAGGGCCCCACCAGCCTCCTTTGGAGGTCTGGATAAAAAACTCTTCAAGCCCTGTTATTCAAATTACAGTCCCCAAAGTCCCTTTCCCCAACGGCCAAAAACAGTCGTGCCGTCCCCAGTCAGTGCGAATGAGGTAAATCAGCCGTCGTCAACCTGGAACAGCCTGTGGTAGGTTCAAGAAATTTCCGGAAGCCCCGCCTTCACTTCCATCGGCTTCTGCGTCGACGCAACGCAGGTGACGGAGGCGGAGACGCGCATGGATGGGTGTGGCGTGGGCTGCGACGTAGTGACATCACTGTCTACGTGAGGCGTGGGCGGAGCCTCACTTTGAAACTAGTTGGCGGGAGTTGCCAAGGGGCCTTGCCCGGTGATAGAACCTTGCTTCCGGGGTGGACTGCGATGGAGCCCACCTTGGGCGGTGAGATGAAGAGTGGAGCTGGAGCGGCAACCGGAGAGTGCGTGAATAGGATCCCGGTGCCCAGACCCCCCTCCATTGAGGAGTTCACCATAGTGAAGCCTATTAGCCGCGGCGCCTTTGGGAAGGTGTATCTGGGGCAGAAAGGCAACAGGTTGTATGCGGTGAAGGTAAGAGTCGAAGATTAAAGAAAGCTAAAGAGGGTGGTCCTTCGGCCCTCCTTCCCGCCCCCTGAACTGGGCAGGCTCCAGGGCCGCTGGAGCGGCTAGACTGAATGCCTGGCTCGCTGAAGCCTCCGGGCCCCGTGAGATGATTTCTCATTTGAGGTGACAGCGCGGGCAAGTCGCTCTTGCCTCTGCCCCGCCCTTCTCTTCCCACCGCGTAAACCTTAGGAGATCTAGGACTTATGAATCCTTTTGACTAATTTGGGCTTTACCAGGATTAAGATTGAAACTTTAAATTAGAAACATTTTCAAATTATATTTTAACTACCAATTTGATGTTGATTCATTTCTTTTTTGTTGAGGCGTAATTGACATATACCAATTTCAGGTGTACAACTTAACGATTCAGTATTTGTCTATGTGGTGAAATGATCATCATAAGTCTAGTTAACAGCCATGATGAAACAGCGGCAAATTTTTTTCTTGTGATGAGAACTTTATCTTAGCAGCATTCAAATATATAATGCAGTATTGTTAACTATAGTTGGCATGCTATGATATAGATGAACTTTTGACCTGTATAACCAAAAGATACCATTAAACAAACCCACTTTTCAAGCCTTTCATTATAAATCTGGAATGTACATTTATTTAAAGACTAAGCTGAACTATTCCTAAATCACTCCTTTATCCTTACAGTAGTATGTGCTGTGCTTCGTCACTCAGTCCTGTCCAACTCTTTGCAACCACATGGACTGTAGCCCTCCAGGCACCTCTGTCCATGGGCATTCTCCAGGCAAGAATACTGGGGTGGGTTGCCACACCTCCTCCAGGGGATCTTTGCAAGCCAGGGATTGAATCGGGGTCTCCTGCAATGCAGGTAGATTCTTTACCAGCTGAGCTACCTGGGAAGCCCTACAGTAGTATGTATCATTCCAAAGCATTCAAGAGCTCAAAGTATTCAAAGCTGTTCAGGCCACTCTTGATTCTTATCTACTCCCATAGCTTCAAATTAGTCACAACTAAGGAGTGAGTGATAGTAATAAAGGAGAAGCCAGCAGACTGAGTACTGATGTGGTTTCAATTTCCTGTTGGACATTGCCGTGTGAATATCTAGCACGCACCTCAAAATTGTACTTGTCCAGCTTTGAACATGGTCCTCTCCACCTAACCACCTCCTGGATTTCTTCTCTCCATGTAATAACACCACCGTCATTCAGGCTTGAAACTTGAGTCTTTTTAACCTTCCTCTACTACATCTGTATATCCTCTCTCTCAACTCTGCCTATCAATTCTGTCTCCTATTCATTTTTAGTACCCCTTTCATTCCATTCTCAAGTTTGCCCAAAGACAGACTTAATTTTTTCTTTCGTTCTTTTTTAAAGTACAACTCAGTTTTTAGTAAATCAAAGATTAGGTAACCATTAACACATTACAATTTTAGAAAATTTCCAGTACCTGAAAACTACCTCTCTTGCTTATCTGCAGTGTCTCCCCACTTAGCCACAAGCAACTTTATATCTCTATTGGTTTGTCTTTTCTGGACGTTCCATATTGATGGAATCATACAATACATGGTCTTTTGCATCCAACTTTCTTCACTTCCTTCACATGTTTTTGAGGTCCCTCAGGCCTTCCTTGGGCTTCCCTGTGGCTCAGCTGGTAAAAAAAAATCCTGCAATGTGGGAGACCTGGGTTCTATCCCTGGGTTGGGAAAATGCCCTGGAGAAGGAAACAGCTCCCCGCTCCAGTATTCTGGCCTGGAGAATTCCATCGACTGTATTGTCCATGGGGTCACAAAGAGTCAGACAGAACTGAGCGAGCTTCACTTTCACTTTCTCTTTAGCCGCCCCCCCTTCAAACTTTTCCTAACCTTTCAGACCCACCCTATTGAAATTAATTCTCCATCACTTCATATTCCAAAGATTTTTTGCTTTTCCTTCTGTTATACTAAACAGTCATTATTAGCTGTTGAAATGAAAATGCCAGTATATTTTTCACAAGTATTTGTGAATATCCACTTTGTGTAGGATAAGGATACAGTGGTAAACAAAAACAAATATGCCCTCATGACGCTTCCAGTCTAGTGGAATGATAAGGAAATCATGTTTTAGACTGGCTTTGTCAATTTTGCTTATTTTTCTTATGGGAAGGCTCTACAGCTGGAATTTACAGTGTATTAATGATTTTATTAAATGCTTTAATGAATCTTTGGAAGAAATATGCCTTTTTTCCCCTTCCTGAGAATTGACCTCAGTCTTAGTGTTACTGACTGTTCAGTTTAGTGCTCCAATTTTAACATAGATTATAGTTTTGCCTCCCTACCAATTACCTTGAGACTTAAAAAGAGTAATTAGTTGTTTTCTGTAACACAGCATCTGACACTTAAGTTTCAGTAAACTCTAACCATTTTTAAGAATTTTTCCGGGAGGTGCTGCAGACCCAGGACCCAGAGCAGCTCAGAGGCAGTGAATAATAGCTCTTCCAGTCTGCAATAAAAAATGGCCTTCATTTAAAAAAAAGGGGGGGGGCTTCAATAAAACTACATTGCAAAAACATGGGAAAGAAACAAAATGAAAAGAGTAAAAAAGTTGAAGAGGCAGAACCTGAAGAATTTGTAGTAGAAAAAATACTGGACTGCCGTGTAGTGAATGGGAAGGTGGAGTATTTCCTGAAGTGGAAGGGGTTTACAGATGCAGACAATACTTGGGAACCTGAGGGAAATTTAGATTGTCCCAAGTTAATTGAAGCATTTCTTAATTCTCAAAAAGCTGGTAAAGAAAAAGATGGAACAAAAAGAAAATCTTTGTCTGACAGTGAATCTGATGATAGCAAATCAAAGAAGAAAAGAGATGCTGCTGATAAGTCAAGAGATTTTGCCAGAGGTCTTGATCCAGAATGAATAATAGATGCCACGGACAGCAGTGGAGAATTAATGTTTCTTATGAAATGGAAATATTCCAATGAGGCGGACTTGGTGCTGGCAAAAGAGGCAAATATGTAGTTCCTCAAATTTTAATTGTAATTTTTATGAAGAGAGACTAATTTGGCATTCTTGTCCAGAAGATGAGACTCAATAATTGTTTGAATTTATTATATATATACATTATATATATATTTATATACATAAAATGTGGGTCTTGGTTTTCTGATTTATTAGTGTGAAGAAATAACTACATTCTAATGAAAATCAGGTTTGATATGTTTGTTTTGAAATAGTATTGGGGAAGTTACATTGGGTGTGTTTTTTTTTTTTTTTTTTTTTTGGTCTGTAGCACTAGTTGCTTTGAACAAATAAAAACTTTCTATAGTTGCTTCCTTCAGCAGAAAAGAATTTGATACCATAGTTTATTATATCCTCAGCATTGGAGAACAGCTTTTCTAAATGTTGGGGGAAATCTCCATAGTCATTACTTAATCAAAATTTAGAATTTGCATTTCACTCATATATGCTTTGGGGCTTCCCTGGTAGCTCAGAGGTTAAAGGATCTGCCTGCAATGTGGGAGACCCGGGTTTGATCCCTGGGTCAGGAAGATCCCCTGGAGAAGGAAATGGCAACCCACTCCAGTATTCTTGCCTGGAGAATCCCATGGACGGAGGAGCCTGTTGGGCTACAATCCACGGGGTCGAAAAGAGTTGGACACGACTGAGCGATTTAACTTTCATATATGCCTAAGGATCATTCTAAGTTTTTTGTATGTGTATACATAAAATACATATGTAGTTGTTTGGGAGCTTTTTTATTGTTGTTTTTGTTTTGGTAAATATATTTAAACAACAGCTTTTCATAACCATGGATAAGCCCAAGTTTTTGGAATTCCATCATTTTGAGCAATATAAGAAATCCTTTCAACTTAAATTGAAAACTTAAGTCTTAACCTTTCAAATTAAATAGTTTTGTAATTAATTAGATAAATTAAGCAATTTAAATTGGGTAATTTTTTAAAGCATCTCTATCAGAATCTGCATCCGTATCTGCATATAAATCTGCATATAAATGCAGAAGCCCTGGAAGGAAAATTTTTATCACTGTCAACAACCTCCCCAACCAAATGAAAAAAGTAGAAAAATTCTGGTATGTTTTAATTGGTGAAGCAAAACTTAGTTAAGTGGACATTTGATGGTTCCTTTTGGTGAACCATTGTTTTACAAGAAACTGAAGTCCCTATGCTATATTTAGGAAAGGTTGTGATATATGGGATGTCTCAGATTTGTTCATGGAAACCTAATCAAATAGTTTTAAAATATTGGCAATATACAGGAATATGTCCTATAGGAATATGCCCAGAGGGCATATGCGATCTTAACTAGGGATAGAACCCAAGTCCCCTGAAGTGAAAGGGCAGAGTCTTAACCACCGGACTACCAGGGAAGTCCCAAGAATGTGTAAACACACATCCTGTCCTATAGTGCTTCCTGCGCTTTAGCTGGTCCCAGTCTGTGAAGCGGATTCCCTGGTAGCTCAGTCAGTAAAGAATCTGCCCGAAGTGCAGGAGACCTGGGTTGGATCTCTGAGTCAGGAAGATCCCCTGGAGAAGGAAATGGCAGCCCAGTCCAGTATTCGTGCCTGAAAAATCCCATGGACAGAGGAGCCTGGTAAGCTACAGTCCGTGGGGTCACAAGAGTTGGACACGACTGAATCGACTCAGCACAGGAATAAATGAGTGAACAAACTTTTCTAATCTACACTTGATCTGCATGTTTTTTTCAGACTTTACTCCAACCCATTCTATACATGAAGGCTCAATTTTCTCAGTATTTCAGGTTACTAGTTGAGCAGAAGCTAAGAAAAACAATTTTGTAGTAATCAGAATGTTATTCAACTGTATATTATTTACTTTATTATAAATACTGGTGAACAGTGGTCAATAGTTTTATATTCCTAAAAAAAAAAAAAAAAAAAATTTTTCCAGGGGAAAAAAAGTACATTCTTTCTCTTTCTATCCATCAAGGAACCAAAAAAATTTTTTTAATGGATTGGCCAATTATTTCTCTATGCCTACATTCCTGATTATGTGAAAGTTGCTCAGTCGTGTCTGAGTCTTTGCGACCCCATAGTCTGTACAGTCCATGGATTTTCCAGGCCAGAATACTGGAGAGGGTAGCTATTCCTTTCTCCAGGGGATCTTCCCAACCCAGGGATTGAACCCAGGTCTCCCACATTGCAAGCAGATTCTTTACCAGCTGAGCTACCAGGGAAGCCCTATAGTCCTGATTATCTGGGAGCATATTAGGAACATTGCTATCTTATAACTTGTAAGAACAGCAGAACAGAATTTATTTTCTACTTATTGGTAGGGTAGACGGGGAGCATTTGCTTACATCTTTTTCTTTCTCAAAAGGAAAGTAGTACTTTTACCACTTGAGACCAATTTGAGAGGTTCTGTGTTGAAGAAAGTTTTATTTTCACCAGCTGTTTTCCTGGCAGAGTCCTGCTGGCAGTGTGAGGGCCAAACAACATGTCCATGCTTTCTGTTGTTTTCACGATGGGAACTTGGAAACCTGAGACCACTCTGCGATAAAAAATAAAACCATGTGTCTGTTGTCACATTATGTACTACAGGTTGTCAAAAAGGCAGACATGATCAACAAAAATATGACTCATCAAGTACAAGCTGAGAGGGACGCACTGGCCCTAAGCAAAAGTCCTTTCATTGTCCATTTGTACTATTCCCTGCAGTCAGCAAACAATGTCTACTTGGTAAGTAAGTGACATGTTTTTCTTCATTCAGGAACCAGTAAACCCAGTGACTTAAGAATTACTGCCTTTGGGTTCAGAGTACCTAGGTTTGAATTCCAGCTGTTGGACGTACTAGCTTTATGACCTTGGCCAAGTTACCTTTCCTGTTCTGTTTGTTAGGGTTCTTCAGGGAAAAAGAACAATAGGGTGTGTGTGTGTATGTATGTGTGTCTGTGTGTGTATGTAGAAAGGGGGATTTACTTTAGGGAATTGTCCTTCATGGTTATGGCAATGGCAAATCCAAAATCTCTGGGGTAGGCTGACAGGCTATAGATCCAGCGAAGAGTTGATGTTGCCGCACAAGCCCAAAGGCAGTGAAGAGGCAGAACTCCCTCCTCTTTGGAGGAGAAAGAGATGACACCTCAACCTTTTTTCTCTCCAGGCCTTCAGCTGATTGCATAAGGCTGTCCCACTTGATGGAGGTTGAGATGTTTTTCTCATCTAAAAAATACCTTAACAACAACATTTAGATTGGTGTTTGACCAAATATCTGGGTGCCGTGGCTTAGCCAATTTGATGCATAAAATGAACTGTGATGCCTCAGTTTTCTCATCTGCAAGGTGGGGATAACAATAGTACCTACCTCAAAGGTTGTTATGAAATTCCAATAGGTTGATATAAACCTTGTAGAACAGAATGTGGCACATAGTGCTAAAAATATTTCCTAAGTAAAGGATGCATAATAGAAATATAAAGTTTGATGTGTAATAAGGAAAAGATATTAGGAAGTGGTGGATTGGGGATTTATGGACTTAGCAAGTTGCTTGCTTTTCACTGAACATGGCAGCTTACACTCTTTTAATTCTAATGAGGAATTTGGGTAGGGGACAGAAAGAGGTGAGGATGGCAGGTATTTTAACTTCCAAGTTCTAGAGGTTCATGAGGAAATAATCAGATGTTGTGAAAGACCACCCTATGCCCCACCCCTGGTCCCACCCCCTCTCCAGCAAATAAAAAGAAGAAAAATTATCCCAAATTAAAGGAGATATGATAACTAAATCCCATGCATGGTCCTGGCCTGGGAATGAGGGATGAGGAGAGAGGCCGTCAGGAACAATATGGAATTATCAGAGAAATTTGAATACAGACTAAACAACAGGTAATAGCATTATTTTAGCATTAAATTCCATGCATTTTATTACACTGTAATTATAGACAATGTCCTTGATAAAGCATTTGTTTAAAAAAAAAGAATGTCCTTGTTAGTAGAAATGTGATGAAGAATTCAGTGGTACACTTTCATAATTTAAAAAATAAAAAAGAAAGAGAAAGAAAAAGGATTCTGTGGTGACATATCATGCCCTCTTCTACTTCATTCTAAAATTATTCAGCCAAAATTTTAAAGATTAATACCAGTTGCTAATGTTGCCTTATTTACAGTATTTAATTTGAATAAAATACAAGCACATAATGTATTTATGTTAATGTTGTTAATAACTGTTATGTTTATTATGTAACATAATCATGTTAATGATTAGCATAAATAAGTATTGCTATATTCATATATGTGTAGAGGAAGAAAGCAGATGTGGCAAAGTGCTAACGATGGGTGAAAATAGATGAAGAGTACATGAGAAATTATTCTACTCTTCATACCTTTTTCGTAAGGCTGAACAGTTTACATTTTAGAAAGTGTATGGTAGCATGAACAAACCTGGTATTGATGTGTACTCAGTGACACCAAGAAAATGTCTGTTACAGAACCATGCTAAAATGTATAATCATTAATGCTCAAATAAGATATTTTTAAGTAGTCATATTGGTTTTATTTTACAGTATTTCTATTTCATTTTGACAGGTAATGGAATATCTCATTGGTGGAGATGTCAAGTCCCTTCTACATATCTATGGCTATTTTGATGAAGAGATGGCCGTGAAATATATATCTGAAGTTGCATTGGCTCTAGACTACCTTCATAGACATGGAATCATTCACAGGTAATGACTGACTTTTCTCCAAACTATTACTTAAGCACAAGTAATCAAATTATGTATTTACTATTTGAGTCTTAGATATTTGCATAGCCTCCAATATATGGGTTATCTTAAATTTAGTAGTAATTTGTGCAAATTTAGAAATTCCATCAACTCTTTCATCTCCCTGTGTGTGTGAATGTGTTGCTTTGTCCATGGATATCCTATTTTATTGTGGAGAATATTGACTCTTTTTTCCACTCATTTAGCTGTACATCATGCAAAAGTACTATAGTTTATAATCCCAGCTGATTTACAGTGTTTTGCTGTGTTCAAAGAAAGGTTAAGTGACTCTTTTTGGTTAAGGCTTAATCTCACAGAAAGAAGTAAATATGATTTGACCTGGTGTGAGGTTTGTTTTACCTAATGAAATTTATTTTAGTGGAATATCTAGTGAATAATGCCAAAGATAATCTAGCATTAAATAGTTAACTCTTGTATATTCAGATATTCAAATTTTAGTTTGCTTTTTTTTTTTTTTAGTTTGCTTTTGAGAGTTCTTTTCTGTACTTTCGAAGCCACCAATGAGAGGCAATAAATAGGGTTTGATTCTTCTTTAACTTTCTGTTTTTTTTTTGCTTGAAATTCTAAAATCAACACTAGCTCTTTTTTAGTTATCTGCTATTTGTCTTTTTTATGTTCAGGGATTTGAAGCCAGACAATATGCTTATTTCTAATGAAGGTCATATTAAACTAACAGATTTTGGCCTTTCCAAAGTTACTTTAAATAGAGGTAAGAAACATAGCAAGTAAGTACCTTTTTAAAAGTCCAACACATTTTAGAAACTAACATTTCATTAGTTCATTTTCTGTTAATTAAAAATGACTAAAACGGCTTTTGTGTGTGTACCCAGCAGAAGAATTGCTGGATCATATAGACCAAATTCTATTTTTAATTTTTTGAGAAACTTCCACTGTATTTTTCATAGTGGTTGCACAGTTTTACATTTTACAGTTGACCAGCAGTGCACAAGAGTTCCAGTTTCTCCACATTCTTTCCAATACTTCCTATTTTGATTTTTGATAGTGGTCATCCTAATGGGTATAAGTTAATATTTCATTGTAGTTTGGATTTGCATTTTTCTATTGGTTACTTATGTTAAGTATCTTTTCATAAGCCTCTTGACAATTTGTATATCTTCTTTAGAGAAATGTCTATCCAAGACTTTTTATCCACTATTTTAATTAGATTACTTGGATTTTTTGTTATTGAGTTGTAGTTGTTTCTATATTCTGTATATGAGCCCCTTATTAGATAAATAATTTACAGATGTTTCTCCCATTCTGTAGGTCTTTTCATTCTGTTGCTTGTTTCCTTTGATGTTCTGAAGTTGTGAGGTTTGATATAGTCCCATTTGTCTTATTTTGCCTTTTTCCTGTGCTTTCAAAGTCATAACCAAGAAATCATTGCTGTAGCATTTTTTTAATTTGTAAAATATTTTTTAAGAAGTTTATTGTAGTTCCTACAGTTTCATCAGTGTGAGGTATAAGTGAAATTTAAATTCAAACTTTCGACCTACATTTTAAAGTCTTACACTACATACAAAGTGTTACACTTCTCTTACTTTTTTTTTTTACCATTTTTTTTTTTTACTATTTTTGATATCTAAAGAAAATCATACAATATTATGTGTGAGTTTTGAATCATTTTACAGTGTTACACATTGAAAGCTGATAAAAATCTGCATTAGTTTCTATCTTGCTTACATAGTAAATTAACATAAGTGTTCCATAATTTGTATTAATTCCTTAAATTGATTCTTTTGTTGTTGTTTAGTCACTCAGATTCTGTTATTGAAATTTATTTATCTTTTTTAAATTTATTTTTATTTATTAATTTTTACCTTTTGGCCCCTTTCATCCATTTCTTCCAACCCTTAATCCCACCTCTGTCAACCACAAATCAATTCTCTGTATCTATGAGCTTGATTTTTTGTTTTGTTTTTTAAATTCTACATATAGAGAAAGCATATGATATTTGTCTTTCTCTATCTGGTTAGTTCTGCATGTTTACAGTATGGCATGATGGTTTTCCTGGCTGTGTTTGTCTTGCACAAGCCAACTTTGTAGTTGATGTTAGCAATGTGGAAAGTGGGGCAAAGTCCAGAACAAATAATTGTTGACTTTAGTCAATGACAGTTGAAGTTTTTAAAGAACATCATTTTCTTTCTATACATAGATATCAACATGATGGATATTCTTACAACACCATCCATGGTGAAACCTAGACAGGATTATTCAAGAACCCCAGGACAAGTATTATCTCTCATCAGCTCTTTGGGATTTGTAAGTACTCGATAAGAAAAAAACTCATGTGATAGACCCTAACATGATTGCCATTTACACAGATTCAAATATTAAGCATGTTGCATTACTTTGGCAGTTCATCTACCTAGATATCATAACAGTCTATGCATTTAGGTGGTGTTTTTGTGACAACAAATTGTAGCATTTGTTTTTGTCTTCCTCTTTGTCATAGCAGACACCAGTTGTAGAAGAAAATCGTGACTCTGCAAGTGTTCTTTCGACTCATGTATCTGAAACATCACCACTTTCTCAAGGACTAACTTGTCCTATGTCCATAGATCAAAAGGACATTACTCCTTATTCTAGCAAGCTACTAAAATCATGTGAGTATAAAAGAAAAGATAGCATATTCCGTTAAATGTGCCCTTGAGGAACAAAGTATTTTATAATTTTAAAATTTTGAGTATCAATAATTTTTAAATGCAGACATTCAGATAGCCTGTGGACTTCCTCTGTTTTGTCATGTAAGTGCCATTTCTGACAGGGGTTGTTGTGGATCTTTGTTGTTGTTGGCTGCACTGGGTCTTCATTGTTACGCGTGGGCTTTCTCTAGTTGCAGTGAGCTGGGGTTACTCTAATTGCGGTGTGTGGGCTTCTCATTGTGGTGGCTTTTCTTGTTGCAGAGCACAGGCTCTAGAGCCCTCGCCTAGTTACTCCACAGCTTGTGGGACCTTCCTGGACCAGGGATAGAACTGGTATACCATCCATTGCAAGGTGGATTCCTAACCACTGGACCAGCAGGGAAGTCCCTGGTGGATCTTTACATCAACAAAATAAAATGTCAAGCTAATTTTTCAATTAGCTGCAACATTGTAATGATCATTGGGTGAATTTCACTGTACTGAGTCTATGGAAATCTTAGATGGAGAAGATATAGTAATACTCTGTGCCTTTATAAAATGATTTACAAAAGGTTCTGAAATAAAATAGTTAAAGTCAAGATATAGTTTTAGTTATTACACAATAAAAGTCAAAAGTAAAGGAACCAAGTGGAAAATCTGTATAGCACTTAACCTCACCCTCTAACTTATCAACAGTGGACAGTTTAGTTCTGTGCATGTGTGTTTTCTTCATCTTGGAAATGTGAATAATGATGCTGATGCTTTTGAACTGTGGTGTTGGAGAAGACTCTTAAGAGTCCCTTGGACTGCAAGGAGATCCAACCAGTCTGTCCTAAAGGAGATCAGTCTGGGTGTTCATTGGTAGGACTGATGTTGAAGCTGAAACTCCAATACCTTGGCCATCTGATTCGAAGAGCTGACTCATTGGAAAAGACCCTGATGCTGGGAAAGACTGAGGGCAGGAGGAGAAGGGGACGACAGAGGATGAGATGGTTGGATGGCATCACTCACTCGATGGACATGGGTTTGGGTGGACTCCGGCAGTTGGTGATGGACAGGGAGGCCTGGCGTGCTGCAGTTCATGGGGTTGCAAAGAGTTGGACACAACTGAGCGACTGAACTGAAAGAGTAATTAGTGTTAGTTGTTTTCATAGATGCTACTTCGTTATGAATTTGGTCCTCAATTCTGTACATATCTTGGAGCAATGGATAGACCGAAAGGAAGAATTGCCTCCTTTTTACAAATGAGAGCAAAAGAGTCTCATTTTAAGCTCAGGAGCAAAAAGTTTTAGCATCATTAGTTGTTTATAAGATACAGGAACTTGTGTTATAGAGATGGTGCTACTTTCTGGCACTGGCTCACACTTAGCAAAGTCACTATTATTTCTTTTACCCAGTAGTATAAAAAAGTCCTTATGGATGTATATAATTCCACACTGGTAAGCATGTAAACCTCAACATTAAAATAAAGCTCCGGTTTTAATTAAATACAAATTGAATTGAGTAAGAGTAGTCACATTCCAGCCTTCTAGCACATCCGGATTTAGCCTATCAGTAATGAACCTTCATTGAGAAAAGTTTCAAATTGGATAATGGATATTCAAAAGGAATTTCCCCCTAATTATAAATTTGCAAAACATAAAAATTAAAAAATAAATAAATTTGCTCCCTATCCTGATTTCTACTTTATAAATATTGAGAGTTTTGTCTATTAACTTTCAGAAGCCATCCTTATAGATGAGATAATGTTTACATAGAAATAGTTCTGATATGAAATATTTACTTACTACTTAACCCAATTACCTGTAAAGATTCAGGATTTTCAGGGAAGTAGGAAAGAAGTGACATAAGCCTTGGTGTTTTCTCTTCCCCACAGGTCCTGAAATGGTTGCCTCCCACCCCCGGATGCCCGTGAAGTGTCTAACTTCCCACCTCCTCCAGTCTAGGAAGAGGCTGGCAACATCCAGCACCAGCAGTCCGTCCCATACCTTCATATCCAGCGTGGAATCCGAGTGCCACAGCAGTCCCAAATGGGAAAAGGATTGCCAGGTCAGAGTGCCACTCGCCTTACCCAGAACCAACTGAGTGTAATGATAGAAACACTTGACACCTTTTCATACAAGCTCTGTAAGGACATGAAAGTGAAGATACTCTTCATTTTCCTGTATATTCTGTCAAATTCTTTTGCAGTATTTCATTTCTCATTGAAATGTGAAATTATTCTTCTTCAGTATATGAGATTACTACAATTTTTTTTTTATTAAAAAAAAATTATGTTTTGGTCATCCTGTGAGGCATGTGGGGGTCTTAGTTCCCCAACCAGGGATCAAACCCATGATCCCTATATTGGAAGCATGGAGTCTTAACCACTGGTTCACCAGGGAAGTCCTCTAATTTTTTAACTTTTGCAGTATATTAATAGTAAATGTTTGGCTTCTAGGCATCTAGATGGACTTTTTTTAAAATTCCCTGCCCTAACATAGACATTAGATTGTTGAGTTTTTTAACCTTTGTCTTATTTTATAACTTATACTACCTCCTTCTATAACTGTTTACTGCCAGCTTATCATTTAACGGAATGGTAACTCTTCTGAATCAGAAATAACTTCTAGACCACAAAGGTTGATGCTGGTGTGTCTTTAAAAGTATCTATTCTAAGGAGATTGCTTGCCAAGTGAATAGATACTGAAAGTCATTTTACTTAATTTATGTATTCTGTTCTGGGCTTTTTAAAGCTATTAAAGCTGAGAGGAACTAAAAATATGAGAGCCTTTCCTATATAGAATGTGGATAAAATGTTAGGTTAGAATTCTGTTAATACCCAAAGAAAAAAAATCTCTCCACTTGATAAAATAAATTGGACTCTATTTGCTCTTTAGTCTCAGTAATATGATTTTCTTCATTACAGTGAATAAGTCCTAATCACTTGGCCACCAAGGACGTCCTCTAATTTTTTAAGTGTTTTCTCCTCCCTCTTAGGAAAGTGACGATGCAGCAGGCTCCACAATGATGAGTTGGAATACAGTTGAAAAGCCTTTATGCACAAAATCTATAGATGCCATGGAGACCAAAAGTTTCAGTGAAAGGAATCTTGAGTTAGCTCTTTCTCCCATTCATGGCAGCAGCATCGTTCCTGCCACTGGAGACTCTTACGTTAACCATGCTAAAAAATGTTCTTCAGGGGAAGTTTCTTGGGAAGCAAGACAACTAGATGTAAATAGTATCAATGTGACTGCTGACACAAGCCAGTCTGGTCTCCATGAATCAAAACAGTGGGATGTGGATTCTGGTGGGATGACTGAAGAGCACCTTGGGAAAAGAAGTTGTAAAAGAATTTTCGAATTAGTTGACTCCAGTCCTCATCAGGGAATTATACCAAATAAAAAAAGTTGCTTCGAGTATGAGCATAATAATGAAATGACAGATTGTTATGCAAATCAAAGGACAGGCCTGACAGTTGAAGTCCAGGACCTTAAGCTGTTGGTATACAGAGATCATCAAAATGACTGTGTGAATAAAGAGCATGTGGGCAGTTCTTTTACTGATAAACACCAAACCCCAGAAAAATCGTCTGTCCCAATGATAGAAAAAAACCTTATGTGTGAGCTGGATGACGATTGTGACAAGAATAGTAAGAAGGACTACTTAAGTTCTAGTTTCCTATGTTCTGATGGTGATAGAACTCCTAAAAGTATTCACATGGACTCTGATTCATCTTTTCCTGGAATTTCCATCATGGAAAGTCCGTTAGGAGGGCAGTCTTTAGATCCAGATAAAAACATCAAAGAATCCTCTTTGGAAGAATCAAATATTGAAGACCTACTTCCTGTATCACCCAGCTGCCAAGAAAGTACCTTGCCAAAAGGTGTTGAGTGTCCTACCATCCAAGACAGCAACCAAAAAATGTTGGCTCCTTCTTCAGAGGTCTTAAAACCATTAACCTCTAAAAGAAATGCTGTGGCATTTCGGAGTTTTAACAGTCACATTAATGCTTCCAATAGCTCCGAACCTTCTAAGATGAGCGTCACTTCTTTAGATGTGATGGATATTTCGTGTGCCTATAGTGGGTCATATCCCATGGCTATCACCCCTACTCAGAAAGAAAGATCCTACATGCCATATCAGGTATGTTATCACTGGATACTCCATGCTGTATCAGGTATGTTATCACTTGCTAATGTGTGGTCCTTTAGATTTTAGAAAAATAAACTATGAAGGCCAGACATTTGCCTATCAGCTTGACTATATAATATTAATCAAATGGTTTTGTTCTGCTTATTGGAAATCTGTGGCTTTGTGGAGGTTTTAGTATAGAAAGGTGAAGCGGGTAGCAGTGTTTATCATTTTTAACTCCAATGCCTCCTTCATTTGTATTGTCCTGCATACTTTCACATATTTATATGTCACATGTTTACATATTTACAATCACATTTTCACTTGATCACAGTAATTCTGAGATACAAAATTAAAATCCATCTACTTTACTGCCTTCTAAGGACACATTTAGATGATCTCTTTTCTTTGTAGAAAAGAGTTGACAAATCAAATAAAATCTTTTTTTTTGTCCCTAAACCGTTATCTTTTTAAACCCAAAGTTTCTTTTTTTTTCTTCCTTTGGAGAGACATCATAATATAGAAAGTGCACACCTGTAGGGTTACAAGACTTTAGTTTTCTATTTAGAGCTTAGTGAGGGACTTAGAAATTGTTACCTTCAGAGCCTGTGTCTGCCACCTGTCCTGCTGGTCCAATAGAGTCCTTGTGAGACAACAAAATATCTTAAAAACATAAATGCCAGTTGGCACCAAAGGTTATTTGCATATAGTTCCAACTTATGCATTGTCCTAATAATTCAGTCATTTTTCAGCTGTAGCCTCCCTCCAGGACACTTTGTAAGCTTGTATTGATCCATCCTATCAAGAAATTTTTCTCATGGATTTTTTTCATTGTTTCTTGCATATCCAGATCTTATTGAAATAACTGGTATTAGCTAAGCATTAGAATTGCATTATTATCATTAGGATTTTTTAAGTAAGACTTTTCATAATTAGTTATGAGACCATTTCCAAAGCTGATCAAGGATTTCACTATTTTCCATGCCCAGCAGCCTAGCTTTTCTTTGGTGTAAGCATTTCTGTTCACTGTGAAAAGAATGAAGATATTTATTGTGCCTTAAACTCTTGAAATTAGCAGACCCCAAATCAGGTCAAATCAGAAACTCCATACCGAACTCCAAAGAGTGTGAGAAGAGGGGCAGCCCCAGTGGATGACGGTCGAATCCTGGGAACGCCGGACTACCTCGCGCCCGAGCTGCTGTTAGCCAGGGCCCATGGTAAGGCGCACACATCTTGAGTTTTTGAAGTATCTATCATTATAGTTTCTTTTGAGATAAAGTGTGTTAAATTTCTTTGGAACTTAGATTGCCTAAGGTAAAACAAGATGAGATGGTGCAGTACTCTTTTTCTCACATACATGGCATTTATTATAGTAAATAAAGACACGCAGCCATTCATCCTCAGCCTGCTGGTTCAGTCTCAGTGATCCAGAGAAGCCCCACCTTCCACCCCCTCCACTAGTCTTTGTTCTAAATGTCTTCCCAGGGCTATTCTTGTCTGGTTTCGGGAATACAAAGTTAGTCCTACGCTTCTGTTCAGTCTGCAGATGCCTCTTCCTGTTCAGAGCCTGCACTCACTATACCCTCACCAGAAGGGTCCAGCCAGATAGGAACCATCCCTCAAAAAGCAACACAGAAATAAAAGTTCCTCTGGGCACTTAACTAGTTTTTGGACATTGTCCCTTTTACTAAGTCACAGCTTTGCTAGCTCATTTCCTATATTATCATTTATACTTTTTCTCAAATCAATACAGTATGAATGGAAACCTCAGATGGCAAGGTTTACTTGATAAAATCTTGCCATTCTTTTAGTGGGATATCTATTTATTATAGCTGGCTAGTGAAATGTTCTAAAATTTTTATTTCCCATAAAAGTAACTTGACACATAGTTTTTAAAATAAATAATAGAGAGCAATTTATCATTTTAAAGACAACAATAACAATTTCCTGCTCTCTAACTGCTAAAGGGACTTAGGAACCCCAGCCTGAGTTTCCATAGCTTCTTCTTTTAATAGATATGTTTGTTTCAGCTCTCTTATATTGGTAGTAAAATTACCTGAATTGTTGCTCCCAGAGTAGGCTGTTTTCTACTTGGGAAAAGCTCTCTTCTTCATCTTTTGTCTCTTTTGTCAGGCACCCTACCTGGTTTCTAGTTCAATAAATGACTTAAGAATGAACTTATAACTTTCAAACAATGTACCTAACTCCTGTTTTCTTACATGCAGGGTTTCTGATTTCAGGTGAGTGAATTTCTCCATAAAGGAACATGGCAAAGCACACTTATCTGAACAGTCAAAGTCTAACTAGATCACATTGCATGCAAAATTTTTCCTAATTTCAGCTCACTTATGAAATACAAAATGGGCTTCCCAGGTGGCACTAGTGGTAAAGAACCCAGCTGCAAGTGCAGGAGACTTGCGTAAGAGACACAGGTTTGATCCCTGGGTTGGAAAGATCCTCTGGAGAAGGGCATGACAACCCACTCCAGTATTCTGGCCTGGAGAATCCCATGGACAGAGGAGCCTGGTGGCCTACAATCCATGGGGTCACAAAGAGTCAGACATGACTGAAACAACTTAGCATGCACACAGCGTGTACATGTTTATCCTTATCCCATGAAATACCAAAATGAAAAAAAAAAGAAATACCAAAATGAACTGTCTTCCGAGCAAGAAGACATCCAGAGACATTGCTCTTTGTGAAAACAAGTGTCGGCATGTGGAATTTTTTTATTACAACTGAAGAAATAGGCTTGATAAAAATATTAAAATTAATAGCTACAAAAGGGCTTGAATTTTCTAAGCCTTCCATTCCATTATTATTAGAAAATAGAGAGTAATTAGCATACAAATTACAGAAGTGGATTGTAAATTAGAAAGCCAGTCGTGTAAAACAACTCTGTTCTATAGTTCTATTTATTTTATAATTGATATGATTTATCACAATACGTGATCTTTTTAGACTCTGACTCAAATGTATGGGTATGTATGACATATCCATGGAGAAGTCTTGTATGTTTCTGACATGAGTACATTTTTGGCTGAGCTGGGGAAAGGGTCCTAATTTCTAATCTAAGTAAAATAAATTAAAATGCAGGGTTTTCCTGATTTCCTCTTACTTTCCTGTATTTGGTTATCTAATCTGTTGAAATAATTCTTCCTCAGTGCTGCTTAAAAGGCCTACTAATGGAGGTGGTTTGTGTGTTTTTATAGTGATTACAATAGAGATAGAAGCCTGTAGACTGTTTGTACCTTGTGTTACATAGGAAAAATGGGATCATGTGGCTTGCAGATGGAAAGGTATTCTAAATGCATGCGATTTTTTCTAATGGAAGATTCCACATCGCTTTCCTATTGTTTTTTGTTTTGGAGGCTTTTTTGTTTGTTTTTGTGGTATTTGCTTAACCACAGTAATGAATTTTGTGAAACTGACTTTAAAGAGTTAATTTTCAGACAAATTTAGTTCTAGACTAGAATCACAGCTCTAAATTTATATTGAAGTTAATCGTTTTTGGACTGAAATTAACTTTTGCTTAGGAAACATTTTGTTCCTTTATAGACATAACTAAGCAAGAGTATAAACCAGATTATAAGGTCTTGTTTAAAATAAACATCTAAAAAAAAAAATCTTTGCAGGGAATGCCCTGGTGGTCTAGTGATAGGACTTGGTGCTTTCACTGACAAAGCCTGGGTTCAATCTCTGATTGGGGAACTAAGATCCCGCAAGCCTCATGACATAGCCCAAAAAATAAAAATAAAAAAAATCTTTGTATAGAAATGATGCTTTCACTGAAGGTTTTATTTAGAAGTCAGTTTTACCTACTTATTAAGACTTACCTTCTAATTCCCTCCTCAAGCTATAGTCTAAATGTTTTTCTTGTTAAACTAATTTGTTCCCCTCTGTCCTTAAAAAGAGTAAAGCGACATTAAAACACCCTGTAAGTAAGGCTTCCCTAGTCACGAGGTTATCCTCCAGTTAGCATTAATATTACTACCTCATCTCCTTCCTTTGTGAAACAAGTAGATACAGAATCATCCGAATGTTATTATTTCCTGATTTGAAACTGAGGAGTACTCTAATTTTAAAGAATAATTTTTAGATTAAATGCATTCCTTCATTGTGTTTTAGGATTTAGCATAAAAGTAAGTCTCCAGAATATTGGAAGTAATTAATAAATGGCAAAAATAACTTTAACTTTTTTTTAACAGCCACGTTAATTGTTAATCTAACCTCTATATTCAGAACTTCCCTGGAAGTCCAGGGGTTAAAACTCTGCACTTCCAAGTGCAGGGGGTACAGGTTCAATCCTTAGTTGGGGAACTAGGATACAGGTTGGTATGGCAAAAAGTTTTTCTATATAAATAAAAATAATAAAACTGTTATTTTCCAAGAAAGTAATTACCACACTGCCTAAAGGAAGGTAATTTGGGGTTTTGTACCTTAAAGAGCCAGAGGAAAACCTTAGGAAGTAAGTCTTTGGGCCTTCATTGTGCCCAGATAAAAACATATTGTTTTAGTTGATCAAACATTTGTAGAAAATGCTTGCAAGTTCAGCTGCTTCCTCTTAAATTCCAGGTCCTGCAGTAGACTGGTGGGCCCTTGGAGTTTGCTTGTTTGAATTTCTAACAGGAATTCCCCCTTTCAATGATGAAACACCACAGCAAGTATTCCAGAATATTCTGAAAAGAGGTGATTCTTTTTCTCCTATCTATGAAGATAGATTCATTTATCTCTCTGTATTGTTCCTTTGACCAATGATGAACATGTTAATTTGTATTTGTAGATATCCCTTGGCCTGAAGGTGAAGAAAAGTTATCTGATAATGCTCAAAGTGCTGTGGGCATACTCTTAACCATTGATGATACAAAGAGAGCAGGAATGAAAGGTAAGGTTTGGGGTTAGTCACCAAATCTTGGTGACTTTTACCCTTGATTTGCTTCAGGGATGAATGTTAATAATATCAAGTTCTAATATACTACTACTGATAAACTGACAGCTAAACTCAGTTGGTTTTAAACTTTCAGTTTATTTTTGCCCTCTCAGTATTCATTGATATATTTGTCCTTATTCAGAACATTAAAATTCAGTGCAATCAGGTTGCAGTCTTAAATTTTATTACTCTCAAGCAGATTCTCAAAACAATCTCATCTTGTCAATGTCTTTTAAGTTTTTTGGAGCCTGATAAAGTTAACCATCAACCAATATAGGAAATTCTTTTAGTCAAAACTTCCTGTTTTATGATTTCTTACTGCTTCATTTCTGACATCATTATTGATTGACAAGTATTTTTATGTACTCTGGCTCCTTGTTGCTTATCTTCACAGCTAAGATGCCTCAAAGAAGACAAAATGGGCTCATCATGACCCATTCAAAGCTTTTTTCCCATGCTGAAAACTCAAATTAATTTTCAACTCCAATTTTGAAACTCCAGTAAATCTCATTAGCAGTTGCCTTAAAATTCTTTTTGTCACACGGTATAGATAGAGACAGCTAAGCACTGATGTCTCAAAGTACACTTCCATGTGAAGTACAGTATATTAAGAAAATGGACTTTAGTCGTATGTCATTTGTATCAACTTCTAGTTTTCCCTCTAATCAGATCAACAAACCCTATAGAGTGACTTCTAGGTGTCAGTGTTGTTATTTGAGGCACTGGAGGTAACCTAGGGATGAACCAGACTAAAACTCCTGTCCTTAAGTTCTAGAACTACATTCTAGGGGAAAGACAGAAAGTAGACAGATACAATCATAACGCCATGCAGTAGTAACTACACAAAGAGAGAAAGCAGAGAGGGTACAAAGTGAAGGCAAGAGATGTATTTTTTAGACTGAATGGTCATGAAGATTTCTGACAAGTGGAATTTGAGCAAAAACCAGTGTAAAGTGAGGATGCAGACATTTGAAAACTTAGCTCTAAAAATTACTTTAAGGGACTTCCCTGGTGGTCCAGTGGTTAAGACTCCAAGCTTCCACTATACGGGCCATGGGTTCAATCCCTGGTCGGGGAACTATGATCCTACATGCCACATAGTGTGACCAAAAAATAGTAATAATGAAGTTAAAAATTGCTTTAAAGCAACAGTTCTCCTCTGGAATGATTTTGCTCCCCAGAGGACACTTGGTGTTGTCTGGAAACATTTCTGGGTTGTCACAGCAGTTGGGGTCATCTAGTAGGTAGAGGCCACGGATTCACTCAGCATTCTACCATGCTCAAGACAGTCCCTATGACAGAAAATTATCAAATGTCAATCATAACAAAATTTTGAAACCGTTGTTTAGGAAATGGCTGCACTGCACTGTAATTTGCTTAGTACATTTTTACCAGACCTCAAGTACTGTTCATTTGTTCAATGAATAGTTTACCTAGTGAAGCAGACAGGGTTATTCTTCAGTTTAGTTACTCTTAACCTAGATTAGAATTCTTTGCAGATGCAGTTTAAATAAAGAGATACAATGAGAGAATCATGAAACATCATATCACATCCAGATATCCTAGTTCCAGTTACTACTACAAGTAACTCTAAAGTAACCGATGCTCAGTTATTTATTTTGAACAATTGAGACAAATTCTCTAAATGTGAATTACTTTTGCTATTTTATCCTTTTTCCTACCAGTCTTTTAGTTTATGGTAAATCCAACATATACACGTAACTGTTTTTCCAGCCCACTAGCCACAACACAGACATACAATTCCCTACTGTCTGTGTAGTTATCTTCTGATATTTTCCTTAAATTTGATAGCTCTTTTGGTTTGCATACTGCCTTAATTGACACTTTTTTTTTTGCCATCTTTACTACTGCCTGATGAAGTGAATAGTTGAGGAGAGGGGAGCTATGTCTACCAACTGGATACCTGTGTGACCAAAAAAGCAAACTCTTATTTTAGTCAACAGAAGAAAAATGTAGTGAAGATGTGATTTTGTAAGTGGAAGCCATAGACTTGGATGTAGCCATACTGCTGGGTGGCCGGTGTTGTAGAGATGCAAGTTAGTGAAATCAAAGAACAGGGAAGAGAAAGAATGTGTCAGAAGTGTCATCGGTGTGTATGCTGAAATTAGCAGGAAGGATAAGGATGGAGTACAGGACTGGAGGATGAGCTTCCTGCTGAAGTTATGTAGGCGGGTGATGCTGAGCTCCAAGCAGTCAGCAAGGCCTTGAGATAAGAAGTGGGGCATTAATCACTTAAGATCAGTGATGGGGGAACAGGAAGTAGGCCAGGCTCCCTTATCTCATGAAGTCTGGGATTCTTCCTGCAGGTACAGGCAATGAGAAAGATAGGCTCCTGTTAAGGCCAGTCATCATTCACTCTTTGGACCGATTCAGACAAGGCACCTGTCGTATGCCTGGCGGTACACAGAATAACACAGCGTGTGCTGTTGGGAACTATGTGATTGAAGATAGGGATGTTTTTAAAATGTCTGTGAAACGGTCATAGTAAACCAGGGCAAGGTCCCTGTGAAACAGTCTCTCCTCAATGCCTGTAAAATATTGGGTTACCAAGAAGTTCATTTGGGTCTTTCATACCATCTGATGGTAAGCCCGAATGAACTTTTTGGCCAACCCAATAGTACTTAGTTAATGGTGTCATAATATTGTTTTGTTTGATATTTTTTCCCAAGAGCTGAAACATCATCCTCTCTTCAGTGGTGTGGATTGGGAAAATCTACAGCATCAAAAAATGCCATTCATACCCCAACCAGATGACGAGACAGATACATCTTATTTTGAAGCCAGGAATAATGCTCAGCACCTGACTGTATCTGGATTTAGCCTTTAGCTTTAATCTGTTAAATTGTTCCCTTTAATCTAACCTTGCCTTATAGCATGAGCTAGCATAATTAATAATTACATACACCTTAGTACTAGATTGATGTAAGCAGGAAAAATCATTATTTTACCTGGATCAGCAAGCTTTTCATGTATGTTATAGCTTCCACAGCATTAAAAAGGCTATCAAGGATGTAATCAGTAATTTATCTTAGTCTCAGAGTTGTAAATAGATCTTCAAAGCTTTTTTCATCTTATTTATTTTGTTATTGCACTTTATAAAAATTAATGCTTCAGTAAAACTATTAGAAACATGACCTCTTTAGAGAAAGAGTAAGCCTCGAGCTTGATTTTCTTTCTCATCTGTTCATGTCGGTCTACCATTCATTTGGTGTTAACACAACAAAAACATTATAGTTTTATTTTATTGTAATTTATCTGTACTTGATTGCCTGCAAAAGCTATAGTCTTGAGGGCAATCATGTAAAGCTATCATTGTGGCCTCAAAAATGCAACTAGAAAATTCCTTTACTCAGTACTATAACTCCTTTTGGGAATGAGAAATAAAAGGATTAGGGTTTTGCCTCACTTTGCTTTGAATACAGTTTTGTTGCATTGGCTGCTTCTGGTGCTTTCTCTACAATACAGATTACTTTAAAATAGTAGTAGAAAGCTTAGGTGAGATATACTGTAGCAATTTTAACAGGTTGTTCAATTTTAACAAAAAACGTGATGGTTTACATTTCTAAATAATTCATTTAAAACATATGCAGCATTACCAGAGTAGCCTGATTCTTTTTTAAAAAAATAACTTAACTTTCACTTAATAAATATAATTGTAACATACTTTGATACATTCTCTGTCAACATCACTCTTTTCAATACAGATACAGCTTCAAAAGTCATATCTTAAATTCATTGAGGTTTTCTGCATACTTACCCACCAAAAGAGAAAAATTCAAATTTAAATGTACCATGTGTAAATTTTCTGTTAATATATTAAATACTGTTGCTCATTTTGCAAAATGGCTTGAGTTTTTTTACTTTCTGTCAGCATCCTGTTATTAATGTAGTTGACAAAGATTAAAACTATTTAAAACTGTTGCAGTGAAAGAGACACTGTAATAATCGGTGCCATGTAATTGAATCCATGATTTAACGGTTTTACTGAGCTTGTTCTAGTAATGACTACTCAAGTTTAATCCACCTAATTGTCACCTTTTCTAACAATAATATGTTCAAAATACAGTTGTTAAAACTTTGTTTAATGTAAATTACATCTTTCCCTTAAATTGGGTAAAAGCTAAGATTATCCTCCCACGGAATTTTTTTTTTTTTTTCTCCCATGGAATTTTCAAGTAGCAGAAAAAATAGTGGTTTTGGAATCAAGCACAAATGGTTTAAACCACTGCTCTGTCACAGTAAAAAGCTGTAGGTGGGTTAAACTCTGATCATCTACCTGTGTTGTGTAGAAAGGAGCTTCCCAGGACACCAGTCTTACCGGGAATTTGAAACATTACTGAAAGATCAGGGGAGATGTGCAATGAACCTGTTTCCAATGCCAGAGAGGTGCCCGTAAGTGGAAAAGTTAAGAAAAGTTTGCTGTTACAGCCCTAGCAGGTGCAGCAGTGGCCACCTGGAACTCTGTATCCTGTAATGGTGTCTGCTGGGACCAAGTTATTTATTATCTAAACTTAAACCTTTGGGGATTCCCAGTGGCTCAGTGGTAAAGAATCTGCCTGCAATGCAGGAGCTACAGGAGACACAGGTTCTATCCCTGGGTCAGGAAGATCCCCTGAAGAAGGGCATGGCATCCCACTCCAGTATTCTTGCCTGGAGAATCCCATGGACAGGATACTGGTGGGCTACAGTCCATGGGGTCACAAAGAGTCAGACATGACTGAAGTGACTTAGCACACACGCAAACCTTTAAGACACCTGTGAAGATGTTCTGGGTTCAGGTACTCAGTAAGAAAAAACTTGAGACAGAACAAGAATGAAAAAAAAATGGAAGTGTTTTGGCAACTGTGTGGATGTGTGTGTCTTTAAAGAACACAGATGGCTCTGCCATTAGTAATCTGTGCATCCATTACTATGTATAATTTTTATTAATTAAAAATAATTTTCTCCCCACTTCCACTAATTGTTAAACAAATACAGAAAATGCATTTACTTTAGTGTACCTTTGTCAGAATCAAATAACACGAAGTACATAAATAGCAAGTATGGATTCAAATAACACATTAAGTACATTAAATGGTGTTTAATAAATGATCACTGTGGCCCTAAGTACCCTACTACTCAGAATATTTATCTTAATTTGGGGTTTGGGAAATAGTATAAAACTCTGTTATTATTCTCCAAAACATCTTGAAGACCATTTTCAGGTCTGATCACTCTTTATTTGTCAGGAAGAACCATCTTATTTTTAACCAGTTACAAACAGACTCAGAGTCCAAAAGACTGTGCAAATATTTACCATTTCCACCTGGCCTCCTTTCAGTTAATACCATCCCAGCCGTGTGTGGGTCATTCTTCTAACTGTGGAAGGTGGATGGGTCAGGGCAACGTTTAAAGGAGGGAGACTGAACAGAAGGCTATTGGACCAGCCCATCTGGATTCAAGACAATTTTAGAGGTAGAATCAACAAGACTTACTGATGGATGGGATGAGAAGGGTGAAAGAATAGGAGTTCTGAACTTGTTTGTTACACAGCAGCATTGTAACCAATACCTTTCTTGTACATACCAAGTTATATAACACAGTAACATTACAGACACTAGAAAAAACATACTGCAAGCATCCAAAGAGAAAGAAAAAAGACTGGTAAGAGATAATAGAAGATACATATATTGGTCTCTGCCTCTTATTCCCAGCACAGAGTTCCTAAAACCTTTTAATCTCCCAAGTGATAAGAGCACCAGGAGCATTTTTTTGTTGTTGTTGTACTCAAATTTGATCTTTGGCCCTGATTCCTCACCCAGGGCTCCTAGATCCCCTGGGATTTCCTGGGTGATAGCAGTGCCTTTTGTTCTAATGAAGTGACTCTGGGTGGGCTTCCGAATGGGGGGAGCAGAGGGTGGGGGGAGGGTGGTCACCAGAAAGACCCAGCCATGATTAGAAGCTTGGAATTTTCTGGGACTTCCCTGGAAGTCCAGTGGTTAAGATTGAGCTTCCACTGCAGAGGGCAAGGTTTTAATCCTTGGTTGGGGAACTAAGATACTGCACACAGAGCAGCTCTCTGAACCCTGTACTTGGGGGATTCTGATAGACAGGGAGGCCTGGCATGCTGCAGTTCATGGGGTCGCAAAAAGAGTCAGACTGAGCGACTGGACTGAACTGAACTGATGGAGGCTTAGTCACATAGGCAATATCAAACATTAACTCCCTTTCTCTAGAGAACGTAATTTTCTGCCCCACCCTGAATTTTCATTGATTAACACAAGGAGGCACTGGGAGAATGGTGCCCCTAGAGAGAAGCATGGAAGCTCCGCACCACTTCCTGCATCCCTTCCATCTACAGAGTTCATCTGTATCTTTTACCACATTCTTCAGAAACAAAGTGATAAACAGTAAACTATTTACACATGAGCTGGGACTGCAAAGGGAGGGGGAAAGAATGATATCTTCCATTTTCAGTAGGTGGAAGTAAACAGATAATTCCCCAAACAGAAGTATCAAAAAGTAGCAGTTCACACATTTAGAACCTTGGAACTAAGTTCCAAACAGCCAAAAGTGCTGAAAGTAGTTGCCTCCAGAGCAGAAATCAATGACACTTTTTAAGGGAAGGAATAGTAACCAGAGGATAATGAAAAGACTAGCTCTTGTTAAAAAGGAAAAAAAAAATTTGGTACATTTGCACCAATATTACCAGTGTCTATCTCTGCAAAAGGGATTTGGATTTTTATGTAATATAGTGAAATAACCCAATTATTGATACAATATATTGATACATAAGATCTTATGGAAAAACTCAAATGAACTTTTTGGCCAACCCAGTATTACTATCATTGTGGTAGCTATCAGTTTAAAAGCATTTACTATATCCCGAACTATATCTTATCTATGTACTTTATACATATATTAACCATATGAGATATTTTCATCCACATCGTATAGCTACAGAAGCTGAAACACAAGGTAAGGAACTTTCCATGACTGCGCAGAATTTGAACCCAGACAGTCTGGCTTCAGGGCCTGTGCTCAGTCCTGACAATCCAAGTCATCTACACTAGTCAGGACTCTGGTTCCAAGTATCAGAAACCTAACTTAAACTGTCTTAAGTAAGAAGGCAAATTTATTAACCCATGTAAACATAGGGATAGGGTTTTCAGAGTTAACTGGATTAAAGGACTTAAACTCAATGTTTTCTGACCCTTGTTTAAGTTCCTACGTCTAGATGTTAGCTTATTTAAGCCTTATTTAAATAAGGCTTTTTTTTCTTTTTGATTTAAAATAAGGCTTATTTAGATGTTGCTTATTTAAGGCTCCTCCAAGTGGCAAGATATACATCCACAGTATTTCTCAGTTATAACCTTACAGGCTGTAACTTAAAGAGAAAGAGAATGCAACAATGAGACAACCACTACACACCTATCAGAACGGCTAAAATCCAAAACACCAACGCCCAGTGCTGGCAAAGATGTGGAGCAACAGGAACTCCCACTCACTACTGGTGGGAAGGCAAAAATAGTACAGCCACGTTGGAAGACAGTAAAGTGAAAGTCAGTCATTTTGCAACCCCAGGGACTGTAGCTGCCGGGCTCTTCTGTTCATGGAATTTTCCAGGCAAGAATACTGGAGTGGGTTGCCATTTCCTACTCCATCTGGAAGACAGTTTGATGGTTTCTTACAAAATTAAGGGTAACTACCAAGCAATCCAGCAATGCTCTTTAGTATTTACCCAAGTGAGTTGAAAACTTATGAGCACACAAAAACCTACTCAGAGATATTGACAGCAGCTTTATTCATGATTATTACAATTTGGAAGCAACCAAGATGTCCTTCAGTACGTGAATAAATAAACTGGTACATCCAGACAAATGGAATATTAATCAGTGCTAAAAAGAGATGAATTACCTAAATCAGAAGTCAGCAAACTACAGCCTATGGGACAAATAGGGCCCCCTACTTGTTTTGTAAATAAAATTTTATTGAAACACAGCCATAAAAACAAAAAGAAATGAGCTATGAAGCTATGATATTACATGAAGGAAATGTAGATTGCAAAGTGAAAGAAGCCATTCTGAAAGGGCTACATACTGATATGATTCAAACTATGTAAGATTCTGGAAAAGACTTTCTCTCCAAACTCTGTGAAATAGATCTGGAGAGTAACTCTTATTGCTTCACTGATGGTCATACGCCCCTCCCTGGGATTGTCACTGTGGTCAAGAGGAGAATGAGATAGACATGGGCCAGATCTGAGTGACATGCCCATTACTGTGGCTTGGGGTGGGGCAGAATTACAGGGAGGAAGAGGAGAGTGATGTTTTATCAGCAGGGGGAATTGGTGCTGGGCAGAAAAAAACAACAGTGGCCACACCTCACCTGTATTATGGATATATTTAAAAGTTCTTGGTTTTCTTTTGAAAAAGGAAAAGAACACTTACCATTTTTCAGCTTGAAAAATGTGGTTCCATTGGAAAGGAGAATTAATGGAGAGAAAGAGAAGGTCAGGGTGAAAACAAGAGAACATAAGGGCTAAGAAGGGGAAAAGAAAATGAAGAGAATTTAGGACAGCATATTAAAGGCCAAACGAAATGGCCTTTCCCATGTATGGGCAAAACTTATAAAATTAGTATCTCTATAAACTAGAACAATTTTATTCTTTAAATAATATTCTTACAGACGAAGATATGAGACCCAGTTCTAGCCAAGAAGATGGTGAAGGGATGTCCTGTGAGACTCCCAGGAAAGTTGTTTCTTTGCCTACCTGTAGACATTGAAATTAAAAGACACTTACTCCTTGGAAGGAAAGTTATGACCAATCTAGATAGCATATTAAAAAGCAGAGACATTACTTT